CTTCTCCTCGTCCTCCTCCTCCTCCTCCTCCACCACCTGTTTTATTATTCCTCCTCCTCCTCCTCCTCGTCCTCCTCCTGCCTCTTGTTCCTGCTCCTCGTCCTCCTCCTCGTCCTCCTCGTCGTCCCCCTCCTCCTCCTCCTCCTCCTCCTCCTCCTCCTCCTTGTCCTCCTCCTGCCTCTTGTTCCTACTCCTCGTCCTCCTCCTCTTCCTCCTCGTCGTCCTCCTCCTCCTCCTCGTCCTCCTCCTGCCCCTTGTCTCCCATTGTTTCCCGCCTCTTCGCGGCGACAGCGGCGGCGGCGGGTGGGAAGAGGGCAGGGAGCAAAGATCAAACATGAATCGGACTGGATAAGAGAAGCTCGACGCATGAGGTTGGATTGTTTTGCGCCGCCCGCTGGCGGTCGTCTGGGGTGGCGAAGCGCGCCTGCCAACCGCACAGGAAAGTGTAGAGATATGGAAACATGGATATATGAAAATATGGAACGCCTACAAGTGAAACGCCCGCAGGTTCCCCAATGGGACCTCCAAGCCCACCGAAACGAACCGTTCACAGATCACGTGGCCAGCCAGCCAGTCAACCCGCCAACGAACAGAACCAGCCAGATTGAAGGGGACCAGTTCCCAGCGCGGTGTAGTGACGTTAGGCTTGTAAGACGGTTGATACGGGGTCATGAAAAATATGCCCGCCGAGGCGGCCGTGATCGCGCATTTGTGATAGTATTTCCTCTGAGAACCGTGGTAAGATGCCAAAGGAACTTTGGTCTCGTGATCTCCAACACTGATACCGTGGGCTACATGCTCAGCGAGAGAGGGGTTGGGATAAGCCATGGCTAAGACAATGGGCAATCCGTATAGCAAATGGTAAGAAGCACGGGAAGGGAGGAGGCCGGCCGGCCGACGCCCGTGCGCGGGCGCACGGCAGCGCGCTCCTGTTCTGGCTTGGCACCAAACAGCCGTAGCCATTTCCCCAATGAAGATGACGGGGGTCGGCAGCATGAGGCGAAGCCTCGGGTATCTTCGCTGCGGCTACCTGAGCTTTGTCAGCCCTCAAGGCTCTCCACTTCCTACTGCTATTACGCAGCGAGCGCCTGGTCTGCGAAGGAAAAACAGCTTTCTCATCGCAGAGCCTCTTGAGCGAAGCCGCTTCCGCGAAGCCCTGCCGCTTCAGGTCCTTGATGACCTTCGTTTTGCCGCCGCTGCTCGCGCCCCTCATCCCGTCAACGGTCCGCAGCACAGTGCCCCGAGATGGCTCGGCCGATTGCTTGCTCATCAAACGTCGCCTCTTCGCCTCGGGAGCAGGAGCCGATGCCGGCACTGGCGGGGGCCGACTGTTCGACCGGACGGCCTCCGACACAGGGCCAGACATGTCGGGGCCGAGGAGCGTGTCCACGCACGGCGCTTCTCGGAAGAGGTCGTAATGGTTGCCGTTCTTGTGGAGCAAGTGCACGGCGACGGCGCCTTCTCGAAGGGTTCCGGGGGATCGCTTCATCCGCAAGCCATGGGTCCCCCTCTCGTAGCACGTGATGGGCACAGGGTACAACTGTTCCATGGCGTACATGGCCACTCCGCTGGCGAAGTACCGCGGGGTCCGGATGAACCGCGCGATCTTC